TTGATGGATTTTGCTTCTTGAAAGAAGCAACAAGAATAACTGATTCGAGTAAATTAATCAGAATCAAAGCAGTATGTACAGAAAATTCCAAAAAGTCCAATCTGACATTTTAAGGAAGAATTAATTCAATGTCCTAACGTACCCGTTACTATCAATGAAGGTTCTCCCATTGAGAGAACACGTCTCTACCATGTAATCTTGTCTCTCCACATTTTCCATATAGATTTCGAAGGTATACGGTTGTCCAACAACAAGTTGTTGTATCGGTACATTTGCTGCCGGCTGCTCAATGGGTATATGGCCTGCAAGGTAGGTGAAGATTCTAGACTCTTGACGAGAATTCAGATGTGTTAAAGTAGACCCATAAGATACCTACCATTGTACAAATGCAGCGCAGGAACGTTGGCAAGAGTCGTAAGGGTACGGAGCGCAAGCACTATGGCGAGCAGCCCGCAGCTAAGCGCACTAGCCATAGCGCAGGAATAGAACTGCTCGCGCTCGCACCACCGTGTTACTCGCAACTAAAATGGGCGCACGTTGCGCCTCCTGCCTGAAAGTGACTAATGCCTCCCAACGGTGAACATTCCTCGAAATATACATGAATACAAACATACAGATTGTACAACCATTGTGAACAAAGGTGATGTACGGGTTTTTCCCTAATTTCGGACAATAGATCGATTTTACCCAACCTTACGGTGTTGTGGAGCTTGCATTTGCACAGCCCTTTAGCGTATAGTAGTGATAACCCATTGTATAGATGTAATGGTCGTCACTGGTCAAATCACAATGGAAATCCTATTTAATTCGAGTTATACCCAAATTAATCATACTTTTTATATAGCTTGGGCACTATCCCCATGATCAATTATGAAAAAGCTAACCGGTAGGACGACAGGATCATGCGGTGTTTGCTAACCATATCATGGATGATAGTTTTTCTTCTTTTCCGCTCACATAACTGGTTGATGTGGGCGCGAGACCCCAAGTTGGGTATTTTTGCATTTTCTATGCATTCATTATTTTTCAGATGTGTTCACTGTCTAAGTGAGTTAAGCGTGAACGTACACA